TGGGGAACATAGGGATGACCCCTTGAGAAACTAGGAAACAACTGCTTAGATTATTACCTCTCTACCCTAGCTCCCTGTTAGTTATATAACTGAGTTTAAATGTGTTTGTCTATAAGCACTAAATGGTCTTATGCTACATATATTTGTGAACTCCTGTTCCTAGAGACCTGAGATCTCTTGTCTGTTTCTAGATCCAGGTTTTGGCGATTTGCTCAGTAGCCTCCCCAAAAATATGTAATTCCTTCCTGCCTTATTTGATCTCACTTATTGATGCTTTCAAGTTTTAACTAAAATTTTCTCTCACTCACCCATAACTATCTGACTGTTGTTTTACTTGTCTGAGGCCACATGTTGTGTGTAGATTTTCTATAAGTTTAGATTTTATTTTATTTTAATTTCTAGTATTAGTTTCCTATATTTTCTGGTTTTCTCTCTCTGCACTTTTCTCACTGTAAAGCTCTTTAGCTCAACTGCACCTTTTTTAAAGCTGTATAAATAAAGTTCGGTTCTGTAATCTATTAATCTAGTAAATTGGATCCTATTTCATCGTTTTAACCTGTATGCCTCTAAGTGATTCATATGTAGTAGTCACCTGGGTGCAACCTCCTCTCCTCTTTGTGTGTGCTATCTGCTGCTGCAGGAGATAATCTTGGGCTCCACATTACAACTGGTCCTGTACCTCACCAACGTTTCCTCCTATGACAACCTGCACAACCTAACTTGTGAGGCCGAGAACCAAGCTGGGCCCGGGGAGGAGATGGTGCAATTGGACATTGAGTGTAAGTGCCAGCAAAATAAATCCACACTCTTGAAAGCTCACAGGCTCAATACAAGTCGTTGGGCTTAATGGAGGTTAGGGCGAGTACACACTGGGGCCATTTTTCTAGTGCAGGCAGGGTGGACAGCCAGAGAAAAGAATGAAAAAAATGGACTGCACTGATTTCTTCTAAATGCCCCCTCTACAAATACGAGCATGTACCCACCATGCTTCTAATGGAGCTCTTTGTCATCTGCCACTCACTCTGGCGACTGGTGAGAAGTGTTAAAATAATATGAGTGAAGTGCTGCAGGTATGGCTTGCCATTTAATGCAGGGATACAATGAGAGGACAAAAGAGAGTGAACTTACCTCTCCTTGCTTTTAAAGAACCCCTTTACCCCATATACACTGTACTTATAAATTACAGTTGCAGCTTGACCCGGGAGGTTTACTGTTGTTTTCTCCATTCAGATGCATTAGTGCATCTTTAAGTTGAAGAACAATGAGAAATGACAGCACCCAGCGGTCCCACAGAAAACAGAGTCAGATGCATTAGTAATACATTACTGAAAAAATACTGCCCAAACGATATCATATATCACCAACTCAGTGACATTCATTAGAAAATAAAGCCAAAAAGAGCGGGGGCGCCAATCAGCTGAAGCCAAATGCACAAGCATCAAGGGACAGATAATGAACGTCAGGAAAATGGGGCTGATAACCCGTGCTAAGATCTGATTTGAGCTTGTGCTAATGGACTTTTCCCTCCTACTCCGGAAAACCGCTTCATCCGCAGTGATTGGCAGTCTATAAATGCGTTAGTGCAGCTAATCTATCAACATCAGCCCCCCTGGTGGACGGACACTCGTTAACCGCCAGCCCTTTAATTACTCTTAATTACCTCACAGAACAGTGGGTGTTTACTGCTGAGTGGCTCTCTGTGCCATTGATTCATGGTACTGGTGTGGCTTCCCTTTCATAAAAGAGCTTTTCTAAATCGTGTTTTTTGCAATGTCATTTTTGTAACTTTAAAGTTAAAAAGCAAATTCAGAGCTTTATCAATACCTATCATCACAAAAGTTTATATTTTGTATGCAAAATATAGATACAGATAACTATTCTTTTGTCTTGACTGAGATTAATTTTGTCTATTTGCGACATTTTTTCAAATTGTTCATTGTCTAATTCTGCAATAAGGTCTGAGAACTGGCAGGCTCATTAAACATAATTCTAGCCTTCCTTTTAACCCCTGCAGTGAAATAGCTTGTGTGAGGTTAGAAGAGGTTTCTAATGGATGATTAGTTAAATGTGATAAACAGCGCTAATTTTCATTCAGTGTAACAGACTTCAGCAAGCCCCGGAAAAAGAGACAATTGCCTCAGTATCTCCTTAGCACAGCACTTTATGAGGCTGGGTCATGGGTTAAGAGCGGCAGAATGGCCTGTGTAGTGTGAAGGGTCTCACTTGAGAGTCGTGTTCGATCTAAACAAGGCCATTTCCTGTAACTTCACGTTCAGCAGAGCTTCCAGGTAGCTATTGTGGTCAGGGGCACAAACGACGACCAGGATTCATTATTCATAGCAGGTCAGCACAGGTTTGCAGTACAGATGGAGAACATTGATTTATGGAAACTCAGAGAGAACATATCGGCTGCTTCACCAACAGTTAACTTAATACATGACGTTATACATGATCAAGGTACACATTCAGCATATAATCATAGCATATAGGCTTGTGCATTTAAATGATCTCTATAATCATTATTGGACTTATTGTTTCAAGTGGTGGAAAGTAACAAAGCACTTTTGCTTAAGTACTGTACTAAAGTAGATTTGGATGCATCTGGCTCTGTCACAAAGGTAACAAAATCTGTCTCTGAAGCTCCCCCAAAGTACCTTTGGACAGAGCCAGGCTAACATTTTCCCCGTTTCCAGTCTTTATGCTGCACTAAGCTAACTGGCTGCTGAGTGTAGCTTTGTATTTACCATTTCCCATACAGACACGAGAGTGGTATCAATTAAAAAAAATGTTACTCATTCACTTTCCAAATCTACAACTGTCCCAACAGTTCCAGTCAAAATCATCTACCTGAACAACGTTGAGCAGCAGCACCACTGGTGTTTCCCCTTTATTGTGGATGGTAATCCTCAACCAACCATCACGTGGCTGTATGATGGGAAAGAACTCAAGCAATCAGAATTCATATATACCCAGTTCATCCCTGACTTAACTGACGGATCAAAGAAACACGGTTGTCTCTTCCTCGACAAGCCCACCCACATAAACAACGGCCGCTACACTCTGATTGCGCAGAACAAACTGGGAAGGGCTGAGGCCTCAGCCTATGGGATGTTTATGGAGAACCCCTTCGACCCGTTCGATCCTGAGGGGATAATTCCAGGTGAGTTCCTGAAACCGTTTTGGAGCTGCAGAATGTTTTTTCCGAGCAGGAAACGAGCAGAGGAGGCCATTAGGGCAGCCAAAAGATAAATCTGTCTGAATACCTTATGATTTTAATGCTGATTGGTCCAGTGTTGGAACAATGACTTGATTAATCTCTAACAGTTTACAATAGGGTTTACAAGATACCACATGGTTACAAAGCAATGAATAAGGAATAGACATAATGACCACTTTCTTCTTCTTGCCTTTTTTCTTGTCCCTTAATGACAAACTAGAGACAGCAGGACATATTTAGAGCACAGAGGTATTAATATTTTGCCATATTCTGCCTTAAAAATCTACTTAAATAAGTGTATGGACTGGTGTTTCAGTTTAATAGGTTTTTACATACTTTTATACATTTGGATTTGACTATGGAATTCTGTGGGATGGCAGTAACACCGAACACAAACTGCTTTCACCAAGTGTACTGAGTATTTCTATTTACAAAACATTAAATGTCTAGCAAAATAATGTCTTACAATTAAATTGGGAAGTATATTTCCACACAATGTTGAACTATTCCTTTAACATTTTGTATCAATTTTAAAATCATTTATTAAATTAGACAAAAATCAACCAGTGAAATGATTGTACCTTTGGATAGAGTCAGTGTTAATCAATATAGTTGTTGAAGTTATCAGCAGGGGTCTTATTGAAACAGGGTGTGTGTGAAGGATTGCTAAGTTTCTAAATAGTCTTAATAATCTTTTGTTCATCACGATTTGTGTTCATAAATGTGTTTGTGTTCTCGCTTCCTACATGTCAGTCCATGATGTGAATCCAAGTAAGTCTTCAATTGATTTTTACTCTCCTAAAAATCTTGGCATCCTCAACATGGACTCAATGTGATGTGTGTCTTGTCATTTTTCTTTAACATTTTCTCATTCTTGCCCATCAGTTCCTACAGTCAAATCAGACATGAACGTCACAGAGAACTCGGAGAGTCGAGTGTTTGTGGTACGTCTGTGCGTCATCATTCCCACTACAAATGTAATGACTATCTATACTGTCATTGAGTGTAACTGCAAATCTGTGTGTCTTTGTTTGAACAGGTGTCTGTGGCTGTGGGTCTTGCTCTGTTTGCCTGCACGGTGCTTCTCATCATGGTTTTGGTTATTAACAAGTGTGGCCAGCATTCCAAGTTTGGTATTCACCGTAAGTTATTACACATTAGTTCATTTATGGCACGCATAATACACGCTCATTCTCCTTTTTGCTGAGAGTTAGATGAGGAGATTGATACCACTCTCGTGTATTTACACTAAATATGAAGCTTGAGCCAGCAGATGATTAGCTTAGCTTAGCATAAAGAGTGGAAACAGGGGAAACAGCTAGCAAAGCATGCGTGTTTCGTTTTGCTGTCCTGCTATTCCTTCAAACTGTTTGTTTTTCTCCTGAATTGAACAGGCAGACTTATACACGTTATCTAATCTTAAAACTACTCATTATAGTATAAGCTAAGCTTATCAATTCCAAGTTGTAGCTCCATTGCTGATTCACAGACATGAGAGTGGTATCATATATACAGTATATTGAGTAATTTTAAGTAATTTAATCAGCTTGGCCACTACTTACTACAAGTTACTAACAAGAGTAGCTCAGTGTTCAGTTCATACAGATTAAAATGAACTTGTTCACGTTAATTCAATTTTTAAAGGATCTGCTTTACAAAGTTCTGTGAGTTTGACTTGGGTGGAGGAACATTGCAG